GTACAAGGGAAGAGGGTGAAGTTGATATTCCCGGATAAAAAATTTTTGGGATCAATGAGAAGCCCGCAGTAGGATCGGGGGAGAACACTAAAATTTCTAGCCCTGCCATGCAAGAAATTGTTGAAGGAAAAGGTACGAATGCTAGGAAACAGATTTGTAGTGACCCTAAGGCTGCTTTGAAATTGCTTGAGGAGTCCTTAGACAACTGGGATGATGAACAAGTCCTGAGTGATAAAGACCTTGAAGAAGTAGGGTGGATTGTTCCTCCTGCTATTCAATCGTTGGCATTAAGCCCTATTGAGGTAACTCAGGAAGGTCCCACGTCGTATCATCTTCATGCCGCAAATTGGCCAGTAGAAGTAAACTTGGCCACAGCAGTGCAGGACTTGTCCGACTATAGGTTCTCCATTGGCCAAGAGTTAGAATCTTGCAGTCTGAAGGACGGTCAGTCAAAACTTGCTCAAGAAGAACTTGAGGAGATCCTCAAGACCTTGAAAAGCTGAGAAGAACAGGCCGAAGAGCTGCAAGGCTATCTAGGGGTCTGGGGAGATGGTCCTCACACAGCAAAAAGCATGTCCTTTAGTGATCCTCTGGAGGAGGTAATAAGTACGGACAAGATCCCTTATCAAGTTGTGGTGCTACGAGCAGAAGAGCTTAGTGATATACAAGATAGCAATGCTCCTAAAGTTGCCAGCGTTGAAGTGACTGAGGAATCTTCCGAAGTCCCTCTTCAAACACGAACCATCCCTCTGAAGAAGTAGAGGCCAACGTTGAGAGGTGGAGACCCTCCATTGAAGCAGAGTATGAATCCTTGGTTAGTAAGACTGAGGCGGTAGAGCCGTTAAGTGAGGAAGGCTTTCAGGAGCTATGCCAAACTCATGTGGTAGAGCTCATTCCCGGAAAGTCTGTTCACACAATTAAGGCATATACCGGCCGTCTAAAGACGAGAGGTGTTGGTTGTGGTAATTATCATCATGGGGAGAAAAGAACGAAGCTCGATACCTTCTCGGGAGGGATCGATGCCCATAGCCTGAGGCTGATGCTGCGCAACGCTGCACTTCGCCAGTGGAAAGTAGGGACCCTTGACGTTACTACTGCCTTCCTAAATGCGGACATAGTTACTCCGAATAAGGAGGTTATAGTAGTAAAAGTCCCTGCAGTGTTTCGCATGTTGGGATCAAGGAGAAGTATTGGAGAGTGTGTAAGGCCCTCTACGGGTTAGATGTATCCCCGAGGTCCCGGAGCCTCAGTAAGAATAAGACACTTCTCCTAATGATGCCGCCCAGGAAAAGGACACCCCAGTAGTAGAGGAGCAACATGAATTTCCAGTACTAACGGAGCCTTCTCCAAAGGAGTTCGCAGCCTCAATCAATAGGCTAGAGCGCCTTGATGGCGATATTCCAGCCAAATTTGTGCAGCTGGCGGAAGATGCCAATGTGTGGAAAGTTGTACTTCAAAATTCGGGGGAGACAGTAATAGGGGCTATAGGCCTATATGTAGATGACATCCTTATCACTGGGCGTGAAAATTACGCCGAGTTGATTGCCAGTACTCTCAGCCAGCAGTGGAAAACCACAAAGCCTCAGTGGTTAGACCAGGAAGGTGTAGCATTTCCTGGATTTGAAATGCGACAGGAAGGTACGGCAATCATTCTCCACCAGGCAAATTTTGTGTCAGAAATGCTCAGTAGGTATCAACACGTGGAGGGTGCCTCTAAGGTACCAGCCTTGAAAGTCCCATGGCCTGAGTCACCAGAAAACCTGAAGAGATCAAAAAGTATCTCAAGTCTGCTCAAACAGCAGCTGGAGAGCTTCAGTGGTTAGTTGGTCGTGCGAGACCAGATCTACAGTACGCCGCGATGGTGATTAGCCAACTACTCACTTCCAATCCGTCGGAAGCGTGTCGAGGGGCTGAAGTTGTTGTTAGGTATCTTAGGTGGTCATCTAAAGTAGGCCTGAAGTATGATGTCGCCCCTGATAATTTTGGAAAGTGGGGGAGCTTGCGTGGAAGCGAGATAAAGCTATGCTAGAGTCTGTAAGCGATGCCTCATTTGCCCCCACAGCACGGGTGGTCGAAGTGTTGGAGCCGCTCAGATCTTCTGGGCGGGAAGCCTCGTTTCATGGCGCGGGGGAAGACAGCCATTCGCAGCCGCTAGTACTGCAGAGGCCGAGTTATTGTCTTTAACTGAAGCTTTCATGCTCGCTAGAGCTATGGAACCTCTCATTGCAGCATTCCACCGGTTCGGTGAAGCCAAAGGTATGCTCAGAAAAGGATTGTATACACGGCTACAGTACAGCTGTAGGGCTATCATAGTACGTGAAGCCCTCGAAGGTGATGACTGGCGCCTCCCAACCCTCTTTACATCCGCTGACGTCGTCGCTACGAAGGCGGTAGGCCCACTCATGCGGGTAATGGATTTATATCTCCCCCATATGGACGAAGGCAACGATCCTCCACGCCCCTCAGTAGCTTTTATTAGAACTCCTTCAGTAGCCACCAAGGCCTTGATCGCCTTGCTGTTGTGCGCGCGCAGTTAGCACCAGTAAAAGCCAGTGATAACCGCTCTTGGGCAGTGATACTTCAAGACCCAATCTTCCAGTTGTGGTGGGGTATCATTCTGGTACTGGCATTAGTAGCTGTGGCGGGTATGTGGTTCAAGCAAGTTGGGAAGACCTCAGCCCTAGATCCTGTATGCAAAATCTTCGCAGTCCTAGCGTTGAGTAAGGTATGCATTGCACATGACGGCAACGTTCATGCCGAGTCTTCCGAGTCTCATGACAATTGGTATCTGGCCGGAGTCATCGTCAATCTTATTTGTGCCTGGGAAGGATTTAAAACCCTTGTTTCAGGAAATATCTAGAGGTGAGTCATTACCACCTAGTCAATCTAGAGTTGCTCGGGAAGAGACTGACGCTCCTAAGCCAGAGATGATGTCCGCTGAAGTTCAAACAGAGGAAGTTACAGAGCCTCAGTTAGAAGAACTGTTGCGCACTCGAACCAAACAGGCACAAGCCATTCGTACCCTGCAAGGGATCGTTGGTAAAAAGATTCATGATCTCCAAGTTGTACGAAATTGGACACCTACTGCGAATGCAGTAGGAACCGTCTACTTTTGTCCTGATAAAGTATGGCATGCAAGTGAACGATGTGCTCGAAACCGGGCAGGCGGGCGCTTGATTGCCCGAAGACCCTGCGCGTATTGTGGAGATGAACAAGTTGAAATGCATCAAATGTTGCAGGATATTCTTTATCCATCGAGCGCGCAAACAAGTACAGCTGGTTTAACCAACTAAGGTTTTTTCACAAAGTCATTGTGCCCACCCACATCAAGGACAGCCATACAAGACAGGGCTGCGAGAAAGGAAGGAACGTACCCGAACAATGGGCTCTTAAGGGCCTCTGGTAGCTCATTCGCACTCGCCTGGGTTCTGATTAATTGCACCTAGTAGTACAAAAAGGCGACCAGTAGTAAAAACCCGGGAAGGGTTTACAAACATGGATCTTGGAGGGTCCAAAATGTACCAAAAAAGGTCCAATTTGGCGTTCTGCAGATGCAGAACGGGGGGAGTGCTTGTGCATTGTAACCAGTGCTTGCAAGTACTTGTATACCCACCGCAGCCATTATTGCTACACAGCTCGACTTTTAAAATTCACACTAGTACATACTGTACAATAATATATCCTTATACCTTTTTTGGTTGCTTTGCTTCTAAAGGAAAAAGAGCCTTAGCCTTCGTTGCGCCATGTCTCTCACCCTCAATTACTATTATACTTATGAAGACTAGTAGTAGTATTACCATTATTATGATGAGTAGTTCTTTTACTATGATAGTAGATCATTTACTGTGATTATTACTCTTGTTTCTATAACTACTCCTGTTGGTGTTGCCACTAGGATTGTTATCACGATTGTTACGATCGTTATTACAATTACTGTCATTACTATTGCTATTAGTTGTATTCATAGTCGTAGTATTGTTATTATACTTACGATTATGATCATTATCATTACTCTTATCGTTATTATACTTCTAACTATTACTATTCCTACTACTACTATTATCATTATTCTTATTGTTCTTAGTATTATTAGTATTTCTCTTACTCGTATTTTTAGTATTTTTTTTTCTTCATCGCAGCCGTCTCCACGGCACTCCTTTGGGCAGGTCGATGGAGTCGCAACCAGTGGTCGATCCCTTTGGCACCTGCAAGATTTTGACATGAGCTAAAGTCTACGGTCCTTACAGGGGGGGATATACAAAGGATAATATAGGGGACTAAGAGGATACTAGGAGTTTAGACTGCAACTCGCACTGAGTTACGTTCAGCCCGTGCTTTGCAATCTCCCTTTGAGTCACGCAAGGTTGCTTCAGTGACTGCATACGAGCCTCCTGTTATGAATGTGTTGCTTCAGCCTGGTTAATCCGGGTTGGCTTGCAAAGCATGTTTTGGCATCTGTCCGGGCCCAGTTCAAAGCCAGGTCTGAGTTCATTTTGATACTCATTGCGACTGGTCTCGTGGCGGCACGCGTCTCAAAGCAGAGTGCTGCGGAGCGCTGTGTTTACCAATCATCACGCAAAACCGTGTTTACGAATCAGCACGCAAAAGGCTGGGACCTTCTTCTCGACGGCGGACATGAGGCAGACAGGATTCAGTTCCGCCATCGCTCCGCAGCCAGCATCCTAATCTGTTCGGCGATGCCGGCTCGTGTGTGCATGGTGGACTGTACTGCTGGCAAAGGGCAGAGGAAGTGCAAGAAGTTGATACCGTTATGGTATTCGCCTCGGTGGCCTGATGGACAACGCATCCTCGCAGACCCCAGATTGCTTCCATTTGCCGTTGCTGACCAGGCCGGCAGCTTCTGCCTGGTCGGAAGCGCCATGCTTGTCTTCCTGTTCTTTTTCATGCCATGCCCTTGTTCCACCTTTGGTGTTGGTAAGCGCTTCTTTCTGCATGTGGCTGCCTTCCTCCCACAGGAAGTACATGATCTATGTGATCATGTTTAGCTTCTGTGTCGGCCTCCTTCTCAGCTGCCACACCCATCAATGACCAGCAGTCCGTAGTATGTTTTGGCGTATGTTTCGGGGTATTTTTTCGAGATTTTTTCGAGGTATGTCTCGGGGTATGTTTCGTAGTACTGGGCTCTTGACGAAAGGGACGTTGTGGGGGTCTGTATCGGAGTATGTATCGAGGCATGTATCAGGGTATGTATCGGAGGGTCCAACGTGCTCCTTTTCCATGAATTCCTGACCCCTGAGGTGGTGCGATGTGCCTGGCGCAGTTTATTGCAATGTCCTTGCACCACTATGTCCGCCGCCTGGTTCCAACAAGCGCCTCGACCGTACCTCTTTGGTGCCCACAGAGGTTCCAAGGACGAAGCAGCGGGTGGTGGATGTGCCCCAGATAGGTCCAGTCACCGAGGCTGAACATCAAAGCAGGGTTGATTCAAGGATCTTTTTGACTTTCAGCTACGTGTTAGCCGGTCATCAGAGACATTGCTGCGCTTTACGTCGCAAGCCTATTCTAGACTAGAATTTATGAGGTTTGGTTCCAATGGGGTGCTGTAAGGGCGTTGAATGTGGACAAACAATGATGAGAATCAGTCGCCCCAGCAGCCGCTGCAGCCGAGCAACAGCGGTTGTGCAGGTGGGTGTTGGAGGTGTTAGGGGAGTAGTGACATGTATAGGTGGTGGCAGTGGCAGTAGCAGCAGCAGCTGTCAATACAAGTCCTCCTCCTCCTCCTCGCCCTCGTTCTTGTCCTCGTCCTCGTTCGCCTTGTCGTTATCGCCCGTGTAAACCGTAGAACAACTAACACCACAAGCCCCTAAAGCAGTGACCTTCCAAACCAGGAGCCCATAGAGCTCTTGCGTCCGATTTGAGACCATAAGGGTCGTAAAATCAACCTTCAAGCACTGAAAGCCACAAGCCACCCCAAAGCCCTTGAGACAGATCACCCCCCCAAGCCCCAAATGTGCAGAGCTTCGGTGGTGATTTTCGCAGACGCACTTCATGTTTTCAGCATTGCCTTCGATCGTTGCGTTCAAATTGCAATTTTTGTCGACTGCTTGTTGGTGTTGGTTGGTGTCCGGCTTTGCGGGCAGGCGAACGTTATAATGACTCCTCGCTGGCCAATTTGGTGTATTCTGCTGTGGTGGCGGTGGTGGTGGCGGTGGTGGCGGTGGTGGTGGCGGTGGTGGTTGCGGTGGTGGTGGCGGTGGTGGTGGCGGTGGTGGTGGCGGTGGTGGTGCTGGTGCTGCTGGTGCTGGTGCTGCTGGTGCTGCTGCTGCCGGTGCTGCTGGTGCTGCTGCTGCTGCTGCTGCTGTGGTTGTTGCTGCTGTGGTTGTTGCTGCTGTGGCTGGTGCTACTCAAACAACAGAAGCCTCCATTTCACAAGCTGCAGGCTGAATGCTTTGCGGCCGTGCCTGCGGTGGCGTTGGCCGTGTGCTGCTCTCAGTCCAGAGATGTTCAAGTCGTTGAAGTCATGACGGTAGTTGCGAGAGAGGAGTGGTCATGGCATTTCTCATATGAAAGTTATGTCACCCAGTTTGCCACGGTATTGCCCGATGCATCCTCATGCAAGTCATGGCCTAGAATTTGTCCTGATGGTGTACAGTTGGGCAGGGCTTTCGTGGTGATCAACGGCTTGTGCATTATTGAAGAGTAAGCTGAGTAATCTGTTCGACTGAAGCCTGGACAGGGCACTTGGACACGTAAGTCTGCCGCTGCAGCCATGGCCATCGACCAAGGTGCTGGTTCATTTTCAGAAATTCTGAATATGGCTGGCCTTTCCAGGAGCTTGTGTCCTGCCACTGCGGCTACTGCGGGTGCTGTGCAAAGGATCTTAAAGTCTTGGCAGGACATCATTGGGGCAGGCTTCCTTTGCTGGATGCAGCGGACATTGAGGCCCCCTTGTCACCCTTTGTGGCAAGCTGCTAGCAGCTGATGCTAGGCTACCTAACCTGAAAACTGCGACTGTGCTGCTGACGGCGATGTTCTTCTTTGACATCTACTGGGTGCCAAACCGGGACTTTCCTCTGCTTCTTTCAACGCTACGGGTTGGCTGAGGTGTTCATCTCCGTGCACCAGTTCAAGGAAAGCGTCATGGTGAGCGTGGCCACTGGTGCAGGGACTGGCGAAAGCGTTCCAATGTTAATAAGGACGGATGGCCTTGGGCAGGAAAAGGCAGGAATGCAATAAGCTTGGCATGCCAGGATTCCGCAGTTTGGCGATCCACTAGGCGGTGATCGTATGCTCGGGCCCGCCTCCCAGGTCAAAAGCAAACGAGCCACTGTGTACCTTCAAGTATCTGGAAGAGGGTCCTTCAGGTTCGGGGACATCGCCTTGCCGGGACTTCTGGCAAACTCGCTGCACATCAGGATTGCGTTTTGTCGCAGCCTCCTGTCAAGTCTGCACTTTCATTTAAGCTGTGCAAGAATGTAAGTGAGGATGTCTTCGAAGAAGCACTTCAGTCCCTGAACCCTTAAGGCTCCAAGCCCCAGCCCCCCAACCCTAAACCCGAAATCAGGTGTCTTATCTTCGAAGGCACGACCTCACAAGCCACCGAACCGTGTGGGAAGGCAGGGCTTGGGGAAAGCCCATGTGTTGTCTAAAGCTCAGGTCCCTACTGCGTCCATATGTATGATTCCTTGATATTCCGTGTTTCATGGACCTAGACCTGAAATTATGACCCATAGTTGCCCTGCAGTGCTTCGTGGCGTTGACTCTACACAGGCTACTTCGCGCCCTCCCTCCTGGGTTACTTTTGCGGGCTCTGTGTCTCTTGCCTCAATCTATGTGTTGTTCTGTGAAGCTCTTGGGGGTTGCAAACCCTCCAAGCCTCCAAGGCCACTATTGCAGCTTTATCGATCATGAAGATGGGCCTCTCGGCTTGTTTTCCAACGTTGCCTGAACAGGAGTGTTCAGTTCTGTTCAGTTCTGCACTTCCTCGAGGTCAGCCTGCCTTGCTGTATCTGGTTCCCGGAACTTTGGGCACAACACTTGTCCTTGCTTCATGTGGTGCACTCAGGGTTTCTCAAGCTGTCCGGACTCTTTGAAGCAACCTAACATAACCTAACGTGGATTCTGCAGGCAGAGGAGAGCTGCGAGATGCCCAGATGTGGATGCAGCCATAGGTGAAAGCAAATACGTTTTGTCGCTTCAGCCGATGCGAGGCAACTTCTCTGGGACGGGCAGCCAGCAAGAGGCTCGCGTCGTCTGGAGGAGCTTAGACCTCCTGCGCATTTCTGCGTGGAACCCTTCACTGAAGACCCTGCAGTGGTCTTGGATACCAACCATAGGAGACCGGTGCAAACAGCGCTCGAGCCTAGGAAGTTTTGTGTCCGGAGTAATGGCAAAGGTCATGTCTCTTGAGCCCGCCGCCTTCCCAGGATGTGCCTTGACTTCCTGCTGATTCGTGCTTGCCAGCGCGGCAAGCTGTTCGGTGAGGGAGCTACCAAAGTGTTGACCTCACCTTTGTGACAAGCTTCTAGTTTCAGCACTTTGGCTGAAGAGTGTCACCCTAAGGCAAGAGTGACCTATCGACGTTAATAGCGTTGATGCCTCCTGCATACTGCACGTAGTGGATTTGTGCACAGAGCGTCTGCCACCCTTCTGAGTTTGTACTGAGTGCCGCAGGTGATGAAACTGTATCAATGTCCGTTGTGATTCCTATGGTAGATGGCAAGGGTGTGCAGAAAACTAGGGCAATGACCTATGGGCAACGCAGCCAACATCGCGGGTTGACAGAAAGGGGTGGTAAGTGGAACTTGCAGCATGCAGTCATGACATGCGCGGTGCACGCATGCTGCACCTTCAAGCACACAGCCCCTGGGAAAGATTTGCAACGGATGCCTCTACGTCTGAGCGCAGGTAGCCGGCTGAGCAGCTCGCCCGGTGGCTGCGATGTGCTTCAAGACGCGGATCAGTTTGGGTCCATAGACCCGTAAGGTTGTCAGACCTATGCGCGGACGATAAAATGACACTGGCCCCCCATCCAAGCATCGTGGGCACAGCATGAACCCGAGATTCACAGACTCTACCAGACCTAGCCTCGTTCCCGTTACCACGCTGAAATGCTGACAGCAGCTCAAGTTCGCACAAGTCCTGTACTTTCTCCGTGCGTGATGTTGCATTGGAGTGATTGAAGGTCTGCCTATCGCCCTAGGTATACAGTGTTTTTTCGAATGTTTAAAGCTTGCAACACATGGACAGCGTGATGATCAAGCAGTCTGCATCCATAACAATAAACAGGTCAAGTGCGCCAGTGCTCTAGATCCAGTTTCACTGATGTTCTGAACCACTATGAAGTGTTGCAATGTGAATCTTAAGTTCATAGGGCATGCAAAATAGCAAGCTTACCACGGATGTCCAGCCTCCTGCTGCCATGAGACTATGGAGACAGACACCTGCATATTGGAGGTGCTCCTGACCGGCCTGACCGGAGTCCTCGGCTTACCTGACTTCAGATCTTGAAGCCTCCAAGGTTGGGAAGGCATATGCAGTCTCCAAGTTGGACAAGCCTGGATTCTCGACTTGGCAAAGCTTGTTTGAAGGCTCGGCCTGCACGGTTTCAGGGTGAAGGCTTAGGGCAGATGGACTGGATTCCGCATGACTTCGGAAGCTGAATTCTGGATTGGAAGAAGCTGGTAACTTGGCATCCAATGCAAGCAGGCTGAGAAGGCGGATCCGAAATCGTTGGCCGAATTTTCACGGCAGACCTTTAGCCCAAGCCTTTGGCGGTAGGGAGCTATTCCCTCTTTTTGGTCTCCAACACCAACAGACCCAAGCCTGTACCCTCAACGGCTAGCTTCCAGATGATACTTCATATTTGGTACCACAAAAATGCTCCTAAGCAATATGGACACCACGTCTGAAACATGGATCATGAATGAGGATTGCACTATCTATTCAATAAAGAACTTAAAGAACACATTTTCATCGTTTCCTGTGAGGTGGGCCTCGCTATTCCTACCCCAGTGCAAACTGAGAGGATATTTGGGGATTGAAATCTAATTTGTGCTATGCCCTGCTTGAGACTGTTGCTATCAGCATCACCGCCATGCATCTCTGAACGATGAAGGAAGCATTGCAATGATTCCGTTTGCAGGTAGTACTCAATCTAACAGAGATCCAGCCTGGTCGAAACTCAACACGTTTTAAGCATCATGCACCCCATGGGCTAGGTTTTGTACCGCAAGGATACGGTCACGGGAGCACGCTCGCATAGGAGCTTCTCAATGTAATTGCCCTGCTGTACGTTACAAATCATACATCGCAATATGTGCAAAAGTGCATTTCAATCAACATGTTACAGCCAATAGTGTTGTTATTTGACTGGGAGACTTCAGGGCAAGCACTTCAGTTTTAGGCACTATTGCGCCGGTGCACATGCAACTATGGGGATGGCGGCGATTGATCAATTGGTTTGGGTTTCGGCTTTTCGATTGCACAGGTTGTCCCCATATGACGATGACGTCGATGACAATGGTTATGATGATGACGATGATGATGATGATGATGATGATGATGGTGAACGGTAGCATGATAACTAAGCCGATGATTATCATTAATATAGCGATGAGGCGATGATGATTGTGACGACGATGAGGAGGACGACGGCGACAATGATGTCAATGACGATGACGATGATGATGACGA